GTATATATATTCTGATGAAACTGTAAAGAAAAAAAAATACTTTTTTGATGAGACGTAAATTATACGTTTGCTTGAAAAATGTATCTCAAATTTTAATGGAATGATAATTTATTTGATTACAGATTAATTTTTCTCTAATAACAAAGTAAAATTTCATTTCGACGAGACGATGAATACAAAAATTACTACTTGGAATATTATGACATTTCATCAAATTACATGCTATTTGCTAAGAACAATCAAAGTTGATTGTTTCAGAGTTGGAGTATGATATTAGGTAATTATGATTAATTAATTATATTTCCAAGCAACCGCTTTCTTGCGAGATATAGATTGCAGTACTAATTAGATACAGCACAAAGGCAATATAATTGCAAGAGTTAACAATCCAACGTAATATTACAGCATTTCATATCCCGTTTCGCTTGATAAGTGATAAATAAAGCAAAGCGGAAACGATATTATTTTGCAAACTCTCTGTAAACGGATACAGATCGATTAAATATATATAATATACCGCAAAAATAAACAAACAAAATAAAATTCTCGTCGTCGGAGGCGATTCTGACACTATATATACGATCGCGAAAGAATCGAGATTGTCGTATCTAAAATTGATTATTTATACAGTACCCTCCATAAGTTTGGCAGCGATCTGTGTAGATTTTTTGTATCAATAAATCACCATTTATAAGACTGTTTTTTGTCATCACAATTAATAATATTTCAAATAACATCCTGATAAAAAACTTCCATTAAGTTTATATTCTTGCATGTTACGAATACCTAATTAAAGAACATTTCTTTAGAGAATTTTTCTCTTAAATTAAAAGGATCCTTTTGACAGATCTGTGCAGATTGTTTGCATAAATAAATCATAAAATAAACAAAACATTAAAATGACATTTTTATTTATAACAGATAGCTGCCATGCAATTCTTGAACTGTCAAATGTAAGGTGTTTCCAAACTTACGGAGAGTACACTTATCGCGAATTGCGCCGATGAGAGGAGAATGTAAAGCTCTCTCCTAGGATTAATAATCCGATAATCTCGGCGTAACCGAGAATTCGGCCTGCCTCCTTATCTGGCCGGTGAAAGCAGCGGACCGAAGTTAATAAATTGCGGCTTGTATTGGGTCGACATCTCTATTTTATCTCGACGGGCCACGCGAATCAATCGGCGTTGCCGATCGATCCGATAATTCGACTCCGGTCCGTTTGACCGATCCGAATGGAGCATTAAGCACTGGCGCATTTAATCGGCGGTTCGGCCCTTCGGTCGAGGAACTGTGAATGATTAAGTGCGGCGGGACGCGCGTTCTTGATCGATGTCCATTTGAATAAGCGCGCTTCCCCTTCATCGTGAAATGTAATCGTTTCTGAGGGATCGTGGGTCAAATGTGCCGATGTAAACGTTCTCCACCGCCAATGTAGAATGCCTCCTCGAGAGAAACGCGATTTAAGTGTATTAGTTTTTGGAACGATCGAGACATTTTATAGTGGGATATAGTTATCGAGAGAGAATCGCGATTTAAGTGTATTAGTTTTTGGAACGATCGAGACATTTTATAGTGGGATATAGTTAATACTTCAATGTTTTTAATCGTCATTTTCTATACGATGACATTTTATAATATCGGTAAAAAAATTCATGTCGTGTGTACATATATCTTGATGAAAAAATGAAGAAAAATGGAAAGAATACTTTTTTTGGTAAAAAGATAGAAATTATGTTTATGGAAATTCCGAAAAAATAATGAAGAAAGTTTGAAGGAATTCATTTTTCGAGGAATAAATTTTCTATATAATATCCATATATCTCATTGTTAATAAATTTGAGAAGATTCTGTGAGTTTGATATATATATAATTCGTAATGTCGTCTTTTGAAATACTATCATGAAAATCTAAGGGAGAGATTTATACGTTATATCTCTTTAACAGATCATTTCGTGTATGAGAAATTTGCAAATCGAAACTTCACCGGTATAATAGAGTTACTTATTCGTAAAATTCGCTAACTCACACAGTTGTCTGAGAAAATAGTTTCCTCTCGGATATTCCGATCTCTCTGTTCCTGCAAAATTGTATTCTCCAAAACTGATTTTAAACTCGACCAAGATTTGTGCCTTTGATTCTTCTTTTCCGAGGATCTCTCTAAGTTCCCGGATTCCGTGGGAATTTAGTCTCTTTTAAGACTTCGTATTTAGTTTAACGCCTCTTCACAAAGACGACGCGCGTCTCTGCGAATCTTCATAGTTTTAAACGCTGCTACTATTTATTCAGAATATTTGAAAACTTTTTAGTTTGTTCTAATTTTAACGAGTAATTGCGCTCTCTAACGATACGTCCGACTCTATTGTTAGCTCAGAGTTGAGAAGAAGTCAATGTCGCGTAGCGTATAATTATCGAACACATGTAATTTCTCGTATAAGAATAGACGACGTTTGCCTCTAGATACGGAAGAAATAGCGCACAATCGATTCTCTATTCATGTCGCTATCGGAGGGAGAGGAGAGGAGTCAGAAGCTGGAAGAGGCATCGACTCGGGGATCCTCTATATTCCATATCGTCGATCCGGGGAATGCCACCTGCGCGTGCCATAACACATTACTTAACGGCGAAGTCACGTTTTTTCCCCTGTTCAACCCGTCACATCCAGATGTGCAACGCACCCCGTACGTGTTCGACGAGCGGCGCCTCGTAAAAATTTCTTTATCCCAATGGCAGTAAAAGTTAACAGCCCCCTATGCCTGAGTAACGTTACGTTGCAAGCTCGCAGGTAGATCATTGAATTTAATCGAATAAAGATAACCAGGCAGCGAGAGTCAACGCAATTTAATAACGCGTCATTTTATTCGGGATAAGACCTTCTTATTTGATTATTTTTATAACAGTCTTAACTTACTGTTAGTCCGCTTACAATTTATTTTGTATTACACGTGCAGGCAAAGTGGCACTTTGTGTGCGTGTTTTCTGTGCGGAAAGCGGCCGATTTCCCACACCGCTATCTAGTGGCGACGCGGTGAGTGAATAAGCCGTATTCAAAGCCATTGCCTACGGCTGAGCCGCGTTCAAAGTCATTGCCCACGGCTTCAGCCGTGTATACAAAATAGTATGTGTATCACATGCGGATTGACAATTGTTTACTCGTCTGGGGTGGTCGCACCCGTGACCAATTGTCAACTTTCCGCACTTGATACATAATATACTATACTCATTTATTCTGATCTTAATTGAATGGAATTTATTGAAAATCGTATCGCGCGATCAAATGAGACCAACTAATATATAGTATACTGATCCCGGATTTTTCTTAGGCGCCGATAGTCAATTTTTTAATTCATTCATAGCAAACATTTTAAATGAAAAAAAATCCTAATATTAAATAATGAATAAAATAAAATAAAAAAAAAATGCGGAATATATATTAGTTGTATATTCTAGATACACACACTAATCTATCGGTACATATACACAGACATCCGCGTTTCGCTTAAATAATAATTTCGCGAAGCGCATGTAATGACCGAACAATCGCGTTAATAACGCGTTCGCGCTCATATTAACACCATGCGCGTTTAACAGAATTCATCGTTTCTCGTCTATCTCGCATTTCGGTGCGTATACTGAGGAGGAGGGATGTGGAGAGGACTGGTAAATTATTACGTGTAATTGATCCTCGCGCAATGCTCGGATTTACCATGGTTGTTTATTTGGACTAGCGCACACTCGCGCCCTCGAAAACGCGTCGCGTTTCCTGGCGCAATTGCACTTTAGCCAGCGCAAACATATACGTCACAAACTCCTCTTGGTCTTGGGGAGTAAGTAATTTCTCGATGTTACGAGCGGGAGCAAAGAGCTGCAAAGGGATGGTAATGGTGAAGGGAAACAGGAAGCGAGAGGAGCGACAAGAGAAAGGAAGGATATTCCGCAATGAGAGAGAGAGACGAAGACGTGCTCCAGAACTGCAACCTCTGTTGCCCGCTCCGAAATATGTTATGTCATATAATGTCGCGGGAGGAAAGGGAGAAACTGCAGTGCGATATCGCAATAACGTTTCTGGCGCAAGCCCCCGGGCCGAAGATGCGTACTCTAACTTATTTCACCGACGCGTTGACTGCCGACTGTCGTCGCGCATTCGTTATCATTCGTTTTAAATGCAAATCCGGGCCCGGTTGCAATCGCGCGCGCTCTCCCGGCATTGCGGTTATTTGTACGATGCGTTATTCGCATCGGCCGTTTCGTTTCTGCGCGCGCAAAAGTGAGGATTTTTTTTTCAGTATGTATGTATGTGTGTGTGCGAAAATGCGAATTTCATCTTCGTATACGTCCGCGGCTTTTCAAACGCCGCGCGTAATGGAGGAAAAGTGCAATTGCGTGTTTCGCGCACGTTTCGTGTTCAATACGGGATTGTAAAAACGCGAAATATTGCGGCCGATTGAAAAACGTATGCTTAAAAAATTTGCTCCCGTTTATTATCTCTGGAAATATCGAATCGCATTATTTTTCATCCCGACACTTTTCCCGTATCTTATTTTCGAATATCAATATTTTACATTTTTTAATATAATTATAGATAGAATGAATTATATATTTTATTATATGATTATATACAATCATATAATAAAATATTATAATAATTATATAATATAATAGATATTATTACATATTTATTATATAATATATATACATGATTATATAATATATACAAAATATATATACTAATTATATAATAAAGTAGATAATACATATATACGATTATATATAAAATCAGAAATTACATACATAAATGATAACATCTGTGAAGCACGTCGTACTGAAATATTTGATCAAACCTGTAATAAAATTGTTCATGTCAAAACCAATTTTCACGCTTATGTGATTCGAGCAGTTAATAAGCGCGATTGTCGGAAGAAAATGTTTACATCGCGATCCACGCGTGAGCAAAAGTTGAATCGATTAACTCTCACGTTCGTCTACTTCCGTTCTCCTTCCAGACCAGATGAGCGACATCTGCAAGAAGTACTTCCTGCGGGATCTCTACAGGAAGATAGACGGCGCCGTTCTTACGTCGCAAAATGAGAGGGAGCTCGATTGCGCCATTACTTTCCAGACTCACAGCATCCTCCAGCGTTTCATGCTCCGATTCGATCAGCTGCAGTTAGACTGCAACGACCATCTCTACATCTACGATGGCGCGCACGCGGTCGGCAGTTACAAGGTAAGTCGTCCATGAAATATCTACACGTGCGTGTGAGTGTCTGTGTATGTCTAGGTTTGTGTGTGTGTTAAACGATATTATCGAGGGCGGCTCTACCTAGGGCCTTCGTCGCAGCAAATGATTGCGAGGGCAGCTTTCGATAAGACATCTCACGTTTCCTTAATGGATTTCGATCGAGGAGATAACCGGCACGATACAAGTTCACTCGTATTTAGCAAAAAAAAATTAATGACGAAAAGAGTTAAATTCAACTCGATTGGAATCGGCATAATTTCGACGTGCGCGCGCGCGTTCAAGCGGATTTCCAGAGCGTGTTTTACACGCACGCGAAAATTGCCTCCTCTCTGTATGCTTAACGTAACGATAAAAATCGGAAAATTGTCCTGAGATACGTTTATTCCGTGTCGTCCTAATAGCGTCGAAAATTTAACGCGCTCAGATTATTACCTTTACGACCGAGATTACATATACAATATAATAGGTTGATTCGTAAGTAAGTTTTTCTGCTATAAGTAATTACTGAATCGCACTTTTTCTGAAAAATCAGGAGGTTTTAAATTGAAACGAAATAATTGCGACAGGTGTACAAGAAAAAATACCAGAAAAATTGCAAAAAATTTATTAACCGCACAAATATGATTTTGCTACACAAATAATAATGTCTGATCACATAAAAATAAAAAAAATCATGAAGCTTTTATAATCAGTTTTACCTTATCCTCTTTATTCTTTTCTTTCCTCATCAGACTTTCATATGTTTAGGTCATAAAAGTTATCAAAAAATGGAAAAAAAATTTTTATAATGATGCTGACTGTGAGATTAATTTATAAAAAATTTTTCGCATTAAAATTTTTAAAATTTTTCGAGGATGAAATGGAAAAATTAACGTGTAGACGAATTATATTTAATAATGGAAAATATATAACAGATTTAAATTTATTATAAACCATTTTAAATATGAAAATTCAGTTTTTATGTGAAACTTATTTATAAATCAACCCAATAATTTATGCATTACATATAAATTTAATTTATATTATTAAAATTAACTTGTTTTGCTATATTATCCATAAAAAATGGGATATCAAATAAAATTGAAAGTCTAGATGCGTTAGAAATCTCTCTACAGATCTAAAAATCCTTTCAGTAGAAAAAAAATATTATCTATTAATGTGCAAACAAATATCTCTGATTGCGCGAGGATAAATCTGTTTAAAGTAAAGTTGTAAACGTAATATAAGGAATCAATCCGTATATACGATTTGTGAATAAGCGAGGAAAATTTCACCCAGATCCGTTTTTGAGATGAAGCAATTGGGTCAAGGCTGAGATAACATTTGTGTGCGATAGAAAATATATATTCTTATGCAAAACAGACAAAAGTTCATTAATGCGCGGTCTTGTCGATTGGGCTGCCAGATTAGCCGCTACCTTGAAATTTTACAATGTGAAATTGACATGACATCATCATATCATGGGTTATTCGTATGAAAACCCATTTATTATTCTTCTTAGCCCGCGGATATATCGATTCTAGGAAATTTGAACGGACGCACGTTATTGCAAAATACGTGTGAAATGTTGACAGAGAAGGCTAACTCTGTTAAATCAACTCACGTCGAAATTTCGCCTAACGGAGATCAAATATACATAATATATGGGAATAATATTAATTAGCAAATTGTTTAGCAATGCGTGCATTAAACGGCGTGTAAAAGCTTACGGGAATATTATTTTTCAATTAATTTGCGACAAATTTTATCGCGGCGCAAGTTCCACATAGGAGTTAATTATTAAGCTACTTAGCGTAATGCGGCATGGAAGTATTTAAAGGATCAGTTGGGAGCCATTAAAACGCGGCAATTTCGACGGAAATTGCCGCGTGGTTCGTGTTTCAACTAGAAATTGCAGTGTTAAACATGCTGATACACGGTACTGATACGAGTTGGGGGTCTCGTCATTAAGAAGACTCGTAAACGAAAGTGCGATATCTCTCAGAGATAATATTTATTAATCTTTATGTCCATTGCCGTACGTGTCTGTCAGATGTGTAAAAAAATTGCCTGTCGCTTTTTTAACCGGCAATTAATTTTAGATGTTTACCAAAAACCTGCGTTTTACTTAATAATACATTCATTCGATGAAATGCGGAAAAGAGAGTTTGAAGAATGAATTCTACGAACGTGCTTGCCTTTTATATTCACGTCCGTAAAAATTTCCACCTTTTGCGCGACCGATTTTTATTGTTTCGAAAGGAACGAGGTCGTTTAAAAAGAGATATTCCAAGCTTTGAGCTAAATCAACGCCGTTATAATTCATATCGTGAAATTATGCCGGCATTAAAAGCGTAGTCAAAAAATAGATGAATTATTAATAATTATTTTATTTCATAATTATTATTTATTTTAAAATCATTCGTAAAAAATTATTATTAATAATTAAACAGAACAAGATGTGGGACCAATATAGTGCTTTAATGACTGATTATTATTTATATACTGATCTTTTATACTCGTACTAAATAGGGAAAAATATAACAATATTATTAATATTTTATTTCATAATTATTATTTATTTTAAAATCATTCGTCAAAAATTATTACTAATAATTAAACAGAACAAGATGTGGGACCAATATAGTGCTTTAATGACTGATTATTATTTATATACTGATCTTTTATACTCGTACTAAATAGGGAAAAATATAACAATATTATTAATAATTATTTTATTTCATAATTATTATTTATTTTAAAATCATTCGTAAAAAATTATTACTAATAATTAAACAGAACAAGATGTGGGACCAATATAGTGCTTTAATGACTGATTATTATTTATATACTGATCTTTTATACTCGTACTAAATAGGGAAAAATATAACAATATTATTAATAATTATTTTATTTCATAATTATTATTTATTTTAAAATCATTCGTCAAAAATTATTACTAATAATTAAACAGAACAAGATGTGGGACCAATATAGTGCTTTAAAATGACTGATTATTATTTATATACTGATCTTTTATACTCGTACTAAATAGGGAAAAATATAACAATTCACAATTTGATGCATTGCGAATGACCCCCAGTAAAAGATATGAAGGACGATTCGCGTCCCAGACCTTTCCACGATTAATCCGATTCGGTGACATCGTCAATGTCAGCTGAAGAAAGCTCTGAACGACTTCATTCAGCGAATTGGCCATTAACGAAGAACCGACGCTTGTGTTCTCTCGCGCAACGTTTACAGTTCCGCCATGACGATTTTTCTCAAGTTTCTCTCTAACGATCGATGCACTCCTCGCATTTGTTCGACGTGGACCGACCTAATTGCCGTCATTGTTCAAAGACGGAGCCGCTAATTGCGAGGCTAAACGACATTATTTTTCCGCGGTTAGACTAACGCTGTTCAAAGAGGGAGAGAGAGAGATGGATAGAGAGGATGCAAAAGAGAAAGAGCGATAGAAAGAAAGATGGCTCTCTTTTCTTTTCGCTTCGCCTGCGAGGTTCAATTTTAATTATATTCCGCCCATTATGCATTCCGAGCATGGCCGAGGGACAGGGGAACGCAAACTTGCGCCATTAATCAAGATTCGTTTCTTGAGAAAGGGATGCGAGAGAGAGAGAGAGAAAGAGCGGATTCTTCTCTTGTCCTAAGTTTCCTCCTTCGATTTTTCGCAATCGAACCGCTTCTGAAGAAGAGCATCTCTTCGTTATAAAAATGTTCTAACAAATTACGCAGTTACTTCTATATATTTATATATAAATGCGAAATATGATACATTTTATTTCACGCGTTTTTACCGCAAATATCAATTTTTCTCTCCTCTTATCAAGCAGAAAAAAATATATCTATTAATTGCGACATCGACGATTGAAATGACTCTTTAATGTTTCACTTTCGCAATTTGAATGGAAAAAATGTCGCTACGCATGTTTCCTGAGTCGACCAACATTCCCTGAAAAATGAATTCATTTTTTCACAGTTCACCCCCATATGCATCACGTGGATGCGTATTCGAGCGGGAGCATGTTTATTTATTAAGCGCACTCAATTACGCGTCCACACCGGTCGTAAACAACGCCCTCGTTCGTGGCTCGGTTTATACACGGTGGCCAAAACAACGTGCACTTCGATCTGCATGAAATTAATTTAAATTACACGTAACTAATTTATAATACAATTATAACATTTACATGATACCCTTATTAGAGACAAAAAATATTATTTTTCGCTCAATTTGATGAAATCACTTTTTCAAATTAATTAATTAAAGAATAATATATTATTTATTTTGTAATCGTGATTAGTTTTTATAATAAATCGTCGTGAATATTTTTGCCATTAATGTGCAACGATTCCATAATAAATAGCATAAAGAAAAATACGATTTTCATAATGCAATTCGAAAGCTTGCCCGCGTGTATTCTAAATCGTGTCGTCGATAAGCAATAAATTATCCCTAGAAATTATCGCGGATCTCCCTATCTGGATCGCAACGTTATTTCGGTCACCCCGTGTATTTTCCCCGCGAAATATATATGGCCCTCGAAGCGCAGAGAGGTACGATCTCGGCATAATTTACGAAAAATAAACGACATAGCACAGCCGTGTTATAGTAGTCAGCGAAATATCTTCCCTAATTTAAATTACCTCGGGTACTTTTCGCCGCGTATTACTCACGATACGCAAACGCGAAATTACCGATGTGTGTATACGTACGTGTCTGTGTGTAACTCGTATATAGATACAGACACCGTGTGTGACGCACGGCCAGAAAGCCAAAGAGCAATTGCGATTTTGCATAATGGCGAACTTTAACTTTAATCTTTTTTACGACTTTCGTAATGGGCCGTTGAACGTGCCTTTTTTTTATTCCGTTGCTTTCTCTTTATTTTCCAAATATGCCAGCCGTCTTCAACAGAGCCTTGGCTGGTCCTCTCTTCCGACCAACTACTCCTCTCCCACTAATGTAACTTTGCGTCCTTTTT